CCGCTATTCGTGCTCTGCAACATTTGTAGGGTTGCCATCATCGACATCCCCGCCCCCGTGAGCTGACCCGGATGAGGAGGCCTCACTAATGGTTCGTGCTGGTTCCACATCAAGAACCGCTAACCTTGAGATAGGTCTTCGGTAGACTCCGCTGCTTGTCGTAACATGGGCGGAGCGAGCGACACCGTCTCTACCGTAGTGTAGCTCCACCACCCTTCCTCTCTTCCACTGCGACCTGGGAGATTCGGCTTCACATATCAAAACAAGACATCCTGGCTGGATGGGCTTTTCTGGCAAGCACCACTTTGTACGCCGCGTCAGTTCGGGTAAATATTCGCGCACCCATTGGTGCCACATACCGTTCTTCAAATTCTGCACCACACGCCACTGCTTTCTCACGCACAACAGGCGGTGATCAAATGGCGCTGGCGTCTGTGTGGAGTTGGGGCACCCCAACAAAAAGTGGTTGGGGGTCAGTGGCTCCGGCTCCTCGGGCGTCACCGGCAGGTGGGTTAACGGCCTGGCGTTGACCATGTTTCCAGTCTCAATTAAAAGGCTCTGCAGCGTTTCGAGTCGTGGTGAGTGTTCCTTCAACATAGTGAATAGCGCTTTCTTCACTGATTGGACGAGTCTTTCCCATGCGCCACCTTCACTCGGATTCGCAGGTGTGTTAAATTTCCAGCGGATGCCCAATGGCGTTAAGCCGGCCGTTAAAGAAGAGGAATCTAAAAAAGAACTTACGCCTTGCAGCTCCTTTGCAATACCAACAAAGTTGGTGCCATTGTCGCTCCTTATCACCACGGGCACTCCGCGTCTATTAATAAAATTTCGGATGCAGATAAGGCACGCGTCACTTGACAGGTCAGTCGCCACTTCTAAATGGATGGCGCGCACAGTGAGGCAGGTGAACAGTGCGACCCACCTCTTCTCACGCTGGCGACGAATAGTTACGCTGATCGGTCCAAAAAAGTCAAGCCCGGTATAGGTGAAAGGCCTAACATACGGTGTCACTCGGTCAGGGGGTAGAACACCCATTTGCGGTTGCTGGGGCTTGGCACGTTTCACGCGACAAAGTTGGCATCGCGACTGCACGCTATTTAGCAGTCTTCGAAGCGAAGGGATCCAATACCGTTGACGAATCTCACTCATCACCGTGGCAACGTTGATGTGTAAAAATTTTACGTGATAGTATTCGGCAAGCAAGCGCGTCACCCTATGATTATTTGGCAATATAATCGGCTGTCTCGCTTCAATCGACGTGCACGCTGCCCTCTCAATTCTTCCGCATACTCGCAGCATGCCATCATTTGCAATAAAGGGGTTGAGTGTCCTCAATGTACTGCAGGTCGAAACAGCGCCATTGCGCTTTATGTCGGCAAGTTCTTCGGCATACGCTCGTTCCTGGACGAATTGTATAAGATGTGTTTCCGCTTGACGCTCTTCGTCAACGGTTAGTTCGCCTTTAGTGGGCGCTTCGTGCCGCACTTTCCTCAACAAATTTTGAACATAACGATAAATCCATGCCACAGATCGTTTCAGTCTAGAATAATTTGAAAAGCGATCAATATCTGGCATTATCACGTATACTTGCCTCGCAATTGACATAGTGTATTTGACACGCAGCTCATCTCCGCTGTGCTCCTCGCTATTAGCTATAAGTGATTCCTTCGGCCATAAGTTCTCGTCTTCCAACAAAAATTCTGGGCCATTTTTCCACCGTCCGTCCGGGTTATAGTTCGCCGGAAATTTCGCTCTAGTGGCATCATCGG